ATATGGGCTTCAGGAAATCCAATGGGTGGGGTGGTTATGAAAGACATCCATCCTACACCACTCTACGCTCTCATTTGTTCGGTCGGTGCAAACAAGAAGAGGAAGAGGAGGAGGAAAACTTCCAAATCAGGGGCATGTTAATAAAATTGACCATGGATCAAAAATTAAATATAACGATGATATTACATCATTATCGGCACATCATGTTGTTATCAGTCAATCCAAACTTAATAAATGAATAAAGTAGACCCCACCTTTTAGCATAGATAATTAAGATATTAAATGAATAAAGTAGTTATTAAATTACATAAATTTTTTTTGTTCAATGTCACCGCGTGACCGTGTTAATATAGTGTTACCATTGCAATAAATATTTTCTCCACCGACATCTACATCCATTGTAAATTCGAGATAGGAAATTCCCATCCTATCTGATGCCCTCCTGCGAACCAAAATAAAAAATGCAGTCTTTCTATGACAGCTCTATTCAATTTCTTCTTGGTTTTTTTTTTTTTCAGTATTCTGAAAATTAGTTTAGTTAATTATTGAAAAGGCTTAAAATGCTTGCGAAAGTGCGAACAATTGGATTCCAGTATAATTTTGCAGAGTAACAAACAATCCTTCTGTTGTAAATGACCCGTGGGCTACACTTACACATGGCACTTGGGCTCTAAAGTTCTGGATCATGCCCATTTATCCTCACCCTTACCTGACACGTTTGGGCCATCTAGAAATTATCATGATACCATATCTTCAAATTAAATATCTTTATCAAAAATCTCATGTGCCCACAAGCCACAAAGAGAATTCAGTCCCTAAATTATTCTTAAAATCGAAATGAAATAGAACATAAGGGTCAAAGAAAGTGGTAATAAAATGGCAATGCACAACTAGTGCCCCGTGACTTTGAAAGTCGGAAACAAAATAGAAAGTAAAAAGCGTGAACCATACGCATCGAATAGATAGTTACTGGCTAGGTAGGGTAGGAGATAGATGCTCTATGGTGCACCGGATTGCCCCCACAGAAATTTGATAACACATCAGTGGGAAGCAGTGCATAGCAGATACTGATCCGTCGCATTCAAATATGGAAATCAAAGGAAACCAAACCATTTCAGAATCCGAATACCGCGTCTCGTGAGCGTCACTTTAAAAAACCCTCCTCCCTCTCTCCCTCCTACTGCAATCTTTGCAGTCTTTCCAACTTCGCTTTCACCCTCCTTTTCCAACCCCCCAAAACCCTAATAAATCTCTCTCTCTCTGTTATCTATGTGTTCATACGGCGTACATGTTATTTTGTAGCAGTCGAGTTTCTTCGTAGAAAAACGAACTAATTAATCGATGGGTGTGACAATGCATGTCAAATCGGACTCGGACGTGACGAGCATAGACGCATCATCTCCACCAAGATCGCCGCGGAGGCCACTGTACTACGTGCAGAGTCCATCACAGCATGATTTAGAGAAGATGTCATATGGGTCCAGCCCATTTGGATCGCCTCATCACTACCATTGTTCTCCCATTCACCACTCACGTGAGTCGTCCACCTCACGTTTCTCTGCCTCCCTCAAGAACACCGCTAGAAACCCTCCGGCGTGGAAGAGGATAAACAGAAGCCATGAGGAGGACGGCGATGAAGAGGAGGACGATGACGGAGATGGTGAAGAGTCGGCGAGTCACGTGAGGTTCTATGTGTTGTGTTTTGTGTTCTCGTTTGTGGTGCTGTTTACCATCTTTTCGTTTATTCTTTGGGCTGCCCATGTTCCCTACAAGCCCAAAATCTTTGTCAAGGTGAGTTTTGGCTTCTTGGTTTTCACAACATTTGCTGTGTGTTTTTCCCACTAGGAAACTCTCCGAGTCAACTCAGTATTTGTTTGTGCGTCCTCGTAATGTTTGGGGCCATAAAGGCCCAAAGCTAAAGGCTTTTGTCAATTTGTCTTCTTTCCCTGAATCGGTTATCTGCGAGTCGAACCAGTAGCTTTGTCACGTGACGTGGGAATTACGCTACCTTGGTTTGGTTAAGGATTACCGTAATTCAAGATGGGTTGACCACAAGGATGCACAACAACAAATCTTTGTCTCTGTAAGCCGAGCCACCTCGATGATTAAAAAATAATAAAACCCGAGCCAACTCAGTGACTCAGTCACGTGACTTATTGGAGCACACACAGCTGGGGAATTGAGGATTTCTATGCGGGATCTTTAGTTTGGTTGGATAATTACTCCTAGTAGAACGATAATGCTCTTGTCAGATTTTTTTAATTGGACTAGTGCTTTGATGGTATGCTATGCAGAACATGGTGTTCGAGAGCTTTATTGTACAAGCAGGAATGGATAGAACAGGAGTACCAACGGATATGTTGACTTTAAATTCGACGGTGAAGATTTTTTATCGCAATCCTGCCACATTCTTCGGTGTTCATGTCACAGCTACTCCTCTTGAGCTTTACTACTATGAGCTCAAGGTTGCCTCTGGCCGTGTAAGTTACAGTTTTAAACTTTTTGTGTTCCTGTTCCTCTATTTCATTTCATAAGGCTCTATTTTTTAGTTTGTGACCTATATCATTGCTATTCCAAGCCTTTATTATTGGTAAATATGACGCAAAAGATTGATTGGTCAGTATTTGATGGGTTAATAAAAGATCATGTACTAGGATTTTTCTCTAATAGTCTTGGATTAAACATGTAAAGGAAATAGTCTTTTTTTTTTTTTGAACATGTAAAAGAAATGTAAGTCTACTGTGGATATATAAAAGGGCGAGTTGGTAGTATTCTAGGATTGATACTACATGTGAGCAGAGCATGGACCATATTATCGTATTGGGTAGTGTGATTTCAAAGGCTTGTGAGGATTACTGGGGCCTACTTGACTGCATGCTACTTGTCTCGTACACATTGGTAGACAAATATGAAGGCAGCTTAACTTTATGCAGGGTGTTTGGTTGGCGTATTGGTTGTCAAGTTTCCTTAAATTGGTCAAACCTCCAGTATGAAATGATGGAAATTCATCATGGGAATCTGATACATATGTTTGGTTGGTTGTATTCAAATTCATATAATCCAGCTTGGTGCATTTTTTGTCAGCAAAATCAAGATAATATTAGGTTACAGTAATACCCTTTTTGAGTTTCAATGAAACTATGCAACACTCTAAAGTCTAAAACTTTGAGATATCTACTAATATTCCCCTTTCAAATATCCTATTTCTTTCTTCCCGGTCTAGGCTTCTCTCATGCACACAAATCACTTACCTAGTCTTAATTTTTATATAATACCAAAAACTAATCTTTAGGTAGCATAAGGGGGATTGTGTGTTTCTCTACCCTTGGAATGTAACACGATAACATTATCTGTAGTGAAATTATCCAGCTGTTATGGTAGTGAAAAATCTGGAATTCTCTCTCTTCTTTGTAGAATAAGATTGTTATATTCTATGTTCGTTTGAATGGCCAAACACTTTAAGCTGGACCCCAAAGATTCTTGCGGTGCCTTACTTCCTTATTTTTGTCTGTTTTTCAAAATTTGTTTCTTTCTTGGAGCTACACATAATATTCAAAATGCACCATGTTATCCCTCTCGAAAAGCCATGGCCTTCAGGAAAAAAGCGCTTATTCCAACAGGATAGGATTAATCTTGTTCTGTTCTTTCCTTATAATCTCCTTGCATCTCAATATATAATCTAATATAGATCTTCTTCTTTTTTTTTTGGTTGATCACCGAATTACCCAGATAAAAAAATTCTACCAGTCGAGGAAGAGTCAGAGGACAATAATAGCAGTGGTTCTTGCAGATCAGGTGCCACTGTATGGCGGAGTGCCGGTCCTCAGTGGTGCCCAAGGTCACCTTGAGAGTGCATCAGTTCCACTTAACCTGACTTTTGTGATGAGGTCAAGGGCCTACATCCTTGGGAGGCTGGTGAAGCCCAAGTTCTACAGAAGCATTACATGTGAAGTCACTCTAAAAGGCAACCGACTAGGCAAGCCCATGAATTTGACCAATTCTTGCGTTTATCACTTTAAATGATTCACTTCCTTTTGGATACTTGAAAACAAATTTAGGCATCCTTTGAAGGGCATAGTAACCATGTTAGGTTTTGTGACTTTTGATTTAGTTGCAGGCATTTGCATAAATTTCAGGTGCCCATTAATGCATTTGATATAATCGGAAACATGAACTCTTTGCATCTTAGCTGTGTCTAATCATATGTACTTTTGTTGATATGCAGCGTAGTTCCTATATAAGTAATTGAATTGTGCAGACATTTTGTCAAAATGGGATTTTTTGAGTGTTCTTTTGTCTGAAATAATACCAATCTAGTAGAAATTCTGGCCTGTGCATGAGCTCTATTTTCTGTCAAAAGAAGGTTGATGTGAGTACCACCATTAAAACACTCGGCCAAACAACTTCCATTTGTGTAATATTGGCAACGTATATTCCTAAAGTTGTCTGCTGCTGGGTTTTATCACTTTCACATAATTATTTTTTTTTTGGGGTGGAGGAGGAGTAATTTCTCCACCAAGACATTTGGTTTGTTAACATAAACTAGTGGGTGTTGATGATTTAACCCACTTTGTTAGACATTTGTGTTTGTAATGAATTATTGTTTTGCACGTTTACATATGTGACTTACTCTATGGCATAGGTGCACAACGCGAGTAAGAAAGAGGATTCCATGAAAGGATCTACGGTTATTGATCTATTTCAATGGGTATGTTGGAAAAATATATACTTACTCTGTATGTCAACCAAAAGAATATAACCTTGTAAAGAAATCAAAAAAATATATAGTATAGGGGAGGTTACTAGCTCTCTCCTTTTCAATTGTAGCACTTTAATTTCTTTGTGAATTTTCGTTAGAGAAGATGATAACTTGCATGATGGTTCACTTCTACTTTATTGGCTTGAAGAAGTTGGCATCTAAGCCTTTGACAACTAAACTCCACACTGCTGCAACAACTACCGAAATACTCAATACTATGCCTAAACAACCTAGCACCAAGTTAAGCCACCACATCGTACCATTTTTGTGGGGTTTCTTGATCGCGATCCACATGAAACATGGATAAGCAAATGTCAGAGGTAACATGATCCCTCCAATGAGAGCTGCCAGGCTTCCCAAGAAAGGCAGGGCCACTGATATAAAGAAAGTCAATCCTCCAAAGAAGACTCGAAAACCTAAGCGTAACCATCTCGGGCACCTCCTCTTTTTCCTGCTGATGTAAATGGATTCCAAGTTGTCCAAGATTGGCATGGCAAAAATTTGGAACGTGCATAAGCAGTTGATCAATATTATCATGTAGATCAAACCTATCACAAATCTCGGGGTGTTGTGTCCATGAAACATTGAAAATGCACTCAAGATTCCTCCAACAGCTATCTGGCATGGGTCAAGCCACAACATCAACATCCAAGGCAATTCATATTAGCTTTTGCAAATGGCCACTTACTATAGTATGAATCTTGGGAGAAAATAAAATTCAAATTTATGCAAGTGTATGGTACCATGTTACCATAAGCCCAATATCCACCTATTGCAAGGGGAAATAAACACATTGGGATGAATAGATATGAGATTGTCACTGCTCTCAACATTGGCTCATGACTTGGATGTATTGCACTTGAAGGCATAGTCCCCTGCATCAATAAGTTATCTAGTGAAGAAATGGACATCTTTACATTGCTGAAATTGTCATAGGCTCTATGAGCCTCAAAGTTCTATCCAGTTTTCTAGAATTTGAAATTTTTGATAGACAAAAGAAAGATATTGTCTTGGTTCTCTTTAGTGTGTTTCAATTTTAAATTCTCTGACGGACAAAAATTTTTGGGTAGTTCAATTGAGTGCAAAAAGTTTGGCCAACCGACAGAATTGGGTGGCGCACCTTTTGGTTGCACTAACATGGAGTCAATTTAAGAATCCTTGAAGAAAGCGTGCCACCAAAGTCGTTTCAAATGTTCAGAAAGTGACACGAGCCCAAAGAGTTTATGAAAATTTTGGTATTTAATGATGCATCTCATATTTGGAACATTCACCTGAATCTCAAGGACAAGGTTATGACCTCTGAAAGCAAGAGCAATGATCCCAATCGCATTCAATATGCTCCGAATTCTATCCATTTCTGATGCTGCCTCCTCAGATGGCTCATAAGATACACCGTCAGGCTTACCCTTGGAGATAGAGAGAACCCATATTATTGTGCAGTATCCAACAGCAGTGATTGCGCCGATGAGTGAGACACCAACCAAGGAATTCAAGTTTGGACAGAATAAAGCCACAAATATGGCCAAAAATATGAAAACCAAGTACCACTCTGCACCACTTAATGTCTTGGCACTGCATGTGCCCTCTTTCCCACACATGACTTGATAGAAATGTTCCATGGTTCCTCCTCCGGTGATTATCAGCATCGCACATGTGGCCCCTGATAAATACATTACCGGGAATATGCCAAGAAATTTCCCCAATTTTCGACCTGAAATGATCAACACATTATAGCATTCGTTTCCACACATATACGTACCACTGCACTTGGTCCAAAAGGATCACAAAGTTGATTCTTTCATATTATGAGAAAATGCCAGAGAAAAAGAAAAAAGGAAGAAAGTGAATAAAGCATTGGGCCATTCTAATGATTTATCAAGGAGGATTGTAATAACCAAAGGCTGCTATGGATAGGTGGAGGTATCTGCTGAAGCGTGTTCCTGGGACTGATTCGTGAAGATGGACAAGAAGCCATATGGTGTAGAGCTGCCATAGAAATGCCATAGACAAGCACAGGATACCCCAAAACCTGCGAGATGCAAACAACAAATGTTTCACCCTAAGATTTGAATAAAAAGGTGGATTTGGATTAGTTAAGGGATATTGTCCCAAGAAGGTTACAAGTTTAGTTTTTTTTTTTTTTTTTTGACGAAGACAATATTCTTGGAGCAAGAACCAGGTGTCTAATTAACCACCCATCAACTGCATACCCAATTCTCACTTGAACAGTAATGATTGGATATAAATATACTTCAATGTACGGGCAGCACCGGAAAGAATAAATAAAAATTATCTAATTACCATCCAAGAGCGACGAATGCGACGGGAAGTACAAGGGCTTGAATTCCGATCCCGGAACATAGTAGATGAAATGCTGAGGTGAAGGCATTGCCCTTTCTGGACTCGGTGATAGGAAGCCAAGCATCTTGTGGGTTGGGCTCTCCTTCTTCCTCTCTCTCTCCCTCTCCCTCTCTGTCATGTTCTGAACCACCTTCCGAGTAGCTCTGCCTCTGCTCATGCATGCTTGTGGAATTATTATTGTCTCCGTTCAATGGGCGCACTTGGACTGCTGTGATTATTTGCAGGGACTGTTTTTGGCTTTTGGCAATAGCAGAGGTTTGGTGGTGGTGGTGGTGGTGGTTAATTCTTCCCATTACTGTTGATGTTGGTGGCCCTGCAAATACTTCAGCCACCTCTTCCATGGCTCCTCTCTCTTTCTCTCTCCCTTGTTCCCCTCTTCTCTCCTTTCTCTCGGTAAATGATGGTCATTTAAGCAGTGTGATGTTTGTCTAATAAAATACCCTTGCGGCAGACTTTTTTTTTTTTCTAAAAAAAGAAAGTCAGAAAGCCATGGAAGCAGAAAGGATATTATAATGCAATCGGTTTAATCTATTGCCTGCTATGAAGTGGTGGTTGAAAACCTAACCATTTGTTTTAAGTGGATCATGTGATTGGACTAGAATTATATAATTAAACATGAATGGAACGTTGTGTCACACCTCCACCCCAGATCACGTAAGGTGGGCGGCGGATGAGAGTTTAACTAATCAATTATGTGCATAATAAATATAAAATACAACGGAAGACAAATAATAAAGTGATTCATTCCACCGACTTAATGAATACCAAATGAATAAACTAAACACCACTAATATCATTACTAAACGTAAAACAATAATTAAACTATAAAGTTCACTATTCTAAATATAAGCAGTATTGTTCCCATAACAATTAAACATTTGTTTCAAAACTATAAAAGACATTTATTCTCGAAGACTTACGATAAAATAAATTTTTAATTTTTCTAATTCCTTGTCTATCCGAGGACTTACTCCTCACCCTTATCCTCACCTGAAAAATGTTAAATATTTGGATGAGCACAATAACCCGTGAATAACAACCACCTTTAATGAGGTATGAAAATAAATATCACAGTTTATATACAAAAATAAACTTGATACATACATAAATACAACAAATTATACCACAATCTCTCTCGCATAATCATTTAAACAAAATAATCTCATGATCACAAATAACTTTATAAATGAAAAGACATTTATAACCCAAAACACCACTCATTTTTACAATTAACTTTATAAATGAAAAGACATTTATAATCTAAAACGCTCACACACACATTCAGTTTCAAATACATTTGTCAAATCATGTTTGTTACCACTAGTCTGGTAACTGACTCAGTCTCTTGTTACCATTAGCCTAGTAACTGGCTCAGTCTCTTGTCATCACTAGTCTGGTAACTGACATAATCTCTTGTTACCACTTAGACCTAGTAACCTCAGTCCTCATCTCATAAATATGATTTTCACACACACTAAAACTGTAGGTTTAGTCCTAACGCACACAAAATTTACCTTTCATCACCAAAGCAATGATATAAAATCATTCCACAAATTTTTCAAAATTCACATGTAGAACAGTTCACAATTTCAAAACATTTAATTGCAACCCAAAATATCAACACATATATCATATATATGAAAAATCCACAGGCACGCACCCACACATTTAATATAGAAAATTCTCCCAAAAAAAGTAGTAACTACTCACCTTGATTCTCAAAATTCAATTCAAATCCCTCTTTCTCAGCCTCAATGCAATTACCATCAAATCCAAAATAATATATAGCGATCAATTGCTATTCTTAACTTTGTCGTTTCACGATTTTATATTTAATTTACGTACTTCCTACCTATTGATATATATTTAATATATCCTTTACATATAAATATTATTTCTAATATGAGGTAATAGGGTATAGAAGTATTCTAAACTGTTTAGAAAAAGTTTCTAAAGTTTTGGGATCAAATCATAATTTTTAAAACTTTTGGGGTCAAAATATAATTTTTTTGAAAAATGAATTTTCTATTTTCGGAACTGCCATAAATTTTTTAAAATTCTATTCTTCCAACTTACCAAGTAAAAAAATTGTTAAAATTAAGTTTAGAAGAATAAAAGGGTCAAAGTAAAACTTTTTATAACTAAAGGGGATGTTGCAAGAATTTAAGAAACTCATCTTCTCCAACCACCAAAAGTTACGAACCTGTAACTTTCTTCCTTCTTTCACTATGCTTTCTTTTTTGCTTTTTTTTTTTTTTACCACAGTAATTAAGTTCTTTAAAAACTTCAAGACCAACCAATCTAAATTAGATCTAAAAACACTTCAATTAGCAACTTTCAATAAAACTCATTTACATATTCTTTATCAATATATATATATTCATTAACACTATTTATAATAAACCTAATACCATGTAATTGAATAGAATATAAAATTCATTAAATAATTAATGAATTCATACCTTCAATGAATCAAATCCTTTTTTTTTTTTTTTCGTTCTTCTTTTTTTTACTTCCTTCTCTCTTTTTCTCACTCCCCTAAGCTGCCTCTTTCTTTCTTTGTTTCTTCCTTTTTTTTTTTGACTCCCTACATATATATTTATACAAAGTAAAAGAAACCATACAGTGATCCTATAATTCCTCATTTCTTAATTACACTGACCCCCCTTTTTTAAAAAGAATATCACAAATTGACCTAAAAACTAATATTATATATATATATATATATATATATATATATATATATATATATATATATATATATATATATATATATATATATATATATATATAAATTTGGAATATTACATTCTCTCCCCCTTAAAAAATTTCATACTCAAAATTTATATACCTTGTAAGAATAACTAGGGATATTAATTTTTTTCATGTTTTCTTTACTTTCCAAAGAACTTCTTCAATTGAGTGACTCTTTCACAACAATTGGTCAACAGATTGATTCTATTACCCAAAATTTGTTGGCTCCTCAACATAAGCAAGAGTTATCTTTAGCTCAATAGGCAAACTCAACCAATATATTAGAAGGATCAATTATATACAATTCCTAGTCATATTGAAAGAAAATGTATTGTGAAATCAAAACATGTTTGATAATAGAACCCACCTTAAAATTGTAATTACAATCCTCTCTATAAATTTGTATGTCCATTTATATTTTAGACTAAACTTTCCTTTGAATTTCTAGTACACTAGCGTGAAGCATAACACCAAGGTATGAATAGTATGCTCAGACTGCCTATAAATTAGAGAACCATAGATTATACAAAGCTTTAAAGTATTATCCACAACATGTTACAAATTAGGTCAACTCTGAAGGTAAATTTTGGACTTCTATCTATTACACTAGATAAAGGTATTCCTCACAATCATACATTCTTATCAATTAACTTTGAGCATACCTTCAAGTGAATATGTAAATTTAATTACGATAACTAATCGGACTTAGTCAATTGATCCACCATAACCCAAATAGATTTATGCCTAATCTGTATTCCGAAAGTCATTATAGAAAATTCATAATAATTTACTCTAATTTTTACTCAAAAATTTGAAATTAGTTATAGTAAATCTAAAGGATACTGATACTAAGTCTTTATCTATCAATGCACTACATATTGGCTACCAATTCCATAATTTTTTTTTTTCATTCAACTCAACCAATAATAGTTTCTTAATATCAATATAATTTCGTACTTTCCGAACGCACAGAATTATAGGTTGTATCTATAATGTCTCTCTTCGACATATTCTCATTTAGTGCCCATAACAAATGCCAAAATATAAACATAATCTCACTAAAAAGTACAAAATATATCCTGCTACTATGTTAGACATCTTTTCTAATACTCTGCATATGTGTCCCCTCTTTTTTTTTTTTTTTTTTTGTAGCTAACTAATACGATTTAGCAATAAGAGTTTAACTTGCAATTGAGCTAATAATACATCTGTACTAGTTAATATCACATGTACCTCTATCGTTCTCAAATCAACCAAATTACTCATTTGGCTACATTGAATACAACATAAACTTCTTAATAATTTCTTGCTTAGTGTATCGACCACTATAATAGCTTCGCCTACATGATAATAATAGAATAATCATAATCCCTAATCTTTCCATCCATCTCATTTTTCTCAAATTAAACTCTTTCTCAATAAATAAATCTTTCAACTTTTGAAAATCAAAATAAATCTTACATGTCTTACCTTATAAACAATCTCTCCATAACCTCAAAACAAAAACAATTACATCTAACCCAAAATCATGAGTATGGTAATTCCTTCTTTACCACAAGAATACACAGATGTAACACCAATGAATATAGTAACATATGAATGTAGGTAAAGTTGAGATACTCATTTTAGTCAATCAATCAAAACAGATGTAACATTTGTCAATCTCAATGACTTCATAAAAAATACAATATAATTAACACAGTTGCACATACTATTTTCAGAACATCATCATTTCTTTCTTTTAAATAAAAATAACTCAGCTTAATATCAATCTTACTACATTATCTAACGTCTCACAATTGATCAAATAAATCATCAATACCACATAAAAGATATTTACTACATGTTGTTGTCTTATTCAGCTGGTAGTAACCTACGTACCATTTCACAGTTCAATCATTTTCTTTACAAACACAACATTAGCACCCCAAAATAATTGTTAAGTTGGATAAATCTCCAGTCTAATATATTTTCAATTGAATTCTTATTCTTCTAGTTTAGCAAGAATCATCCGATACGGAGTAATAAATATAATTACCCCAGGGCTACTAAAAAAATATAAATTTTATCTCCCTCAAATGGTAGCATAGACAACTTCTCTTGAAAGACATCCAAAATTTTCTTTCTACTGTTATATATTCAAGACACACTCTCTTGCTTTGTGTATCAATAATACTACCAATGTTTCCCTAAAAATCTTTACTTTTTTTCAAGATTGCACTCGTAGATTTAATATTGTGGATTAAATAATTATTGTCCCCTCAAAACTAGATTCATATGACTTTCTTTTCAAAACAACCAACTTTCGTATGTTGTGTGACTAATCAATCCATAATAAATATCATATCAAAATCACTAAGGTCTAAAAATACTCAATAAACTAGTAACTACTGTTCTCCAATACAGACATTACACCTTGGATACACGAAATCACCTAATTCAAAACCACCCATAGGAGTTACCACAGTCAAATCAAACTCAAGTGTTTTGTGTTCCACACCCAATCACACTACTACTCTAAGAGACAAGGAAGAATGCATAGACCCTAAAATTTCATTAGTGTCAATTATATT